TGCACTCCAGCCTGGACAACAGGGATTCAGTCTCAAAAAAAAGGAATTCAGAGGGTAAGTGGAAACAAGTTTTATTATCATTAATGGGACTAAAGCGCTTTAGTCCAGAAACTCAGATTTGTAAAACTATTACTAACATCATTATAACCACAGCTGTACTGACACTCAAAAATCCACCCACCTTGGAATTTTGGCCCCTTGGTCCTACATTTCCCTGAGGCAGATTGCTTTAAACACCAGTTGTGCCCCTTATACCCACTTTTGGCATCCCTAAACACTTGCTTGCCAAAAACCTATCACCATGGCTATGGATTGTAGATTTTCCCAATTCCATTAATTCCTATCACTAGTTGGGCATTTCTATAGCTTATTTTCCCAACCTCAGACTCACCATGACTTTCTCAAAAGTAGCTCCATCAATACTTTAAGCTGAAAACCAATTAGGACAGAGGCCTACGAAACCTGACAATTTGCTCATATGGGGAATTAGGAAATACTGCACTTTAACGCATAAGACACCTTGTAAAATACCCATATGAAGGGGTGGCCTGCCCCTCCACACCCGTGGGCGTTTCTCATCAGGTGGAACAAGAGACTTGAGAGGCACAGAGACAAAGTATAAAGAAAAGTGGGCCTAGGGGACCAGCGCTCAGCATATGGAGGACCCGCGATCATTATCTTTACCATCTCAGAGAGCGGGAAGTGGCAGGACAATAGGGTCATAGTAGGGAGATCAGCAAGACGTATGAATAAAGATCTGTGTCATGAGTAAGGAAAAGTGCTGTGCTTTGATGTGCATATATAAACATCTTCATAAACATTTTCAGTGCATAAAGAACAGCATTGCTGCTAGCACGTCCCACCTCCAGATGGTTTACAACATACGATTGGGTTTTACATTCCATTGCCCAGGGACGGGCAGGAGACAGGCCTGCCTTCCTTTCACTAATCCTCCTCAGCACAGGCACAGACCCTTTATGGGTGTCAGGCTGGGGGATGATCAGGTCTTTCCCTTCCTAATGAGGCCATATTTCAGACTATCACATGGGGAGAAACCTTGGACAATACCTAGCTTGCCTAGGCAGAGGTCCCTGCGGCCTTCTGCAGTGTTTGTGTCCCTGGGTACTTGAGATTAGAGTACGGTGATGACTGTAGCAAGCATACTGCCTTCAGGCACTTGTTTCACAAAGCACATCCTGCACAGCCCCAAATCCATTAAACTTTGAGTTGACACAGCAAGTCTCCGCAAGGACAGGGTTGGGGGTACAGTTACAGATTAACAGCATCTCAAGGCAGAAGAATTTTTCTTAGAACAAAACAAAATGGAGTCTCTGTCCACTTCTTTCTACATACACACAGTAACAGTCTGATCTCTTTTCCCCACACCCATAAAATTTTAACTGGCTGCAGTGTTAAATGCCATGGAGTTATAATAGCCTTTGAATGTGATTTATGCTTACAACGAATGAACCGATGAAAAGCACTGTGCTTTATAAAGTAAATACTATACACTCCAAATGGATTGCAAAAATTTATTAAAATTGGAGACACTGTTTTAATCTTCTTGTGCCATGAAACTCCATCAGGCTGTCTACAAAGACCATTGGGAGGCTGAGGATCACTTGAGCCCAGAAGTCTGAGGCTGTAGTAAGCCTCAAAGGGCCACTGCACTCCAGCTTGGGTGAGGCAAGACCCTGTCTCAAAAAATAAGACAGACTTTTAGCCACATTTCCAGACTTCAATTAAAATGGTACATGGGAATGCAGAATATCAGATCTTTTATTGTCATCAGGTAATCAGTGAGAGAGTTCAAGCTGGACTGAGATCATCATGTATTCTGCAATTATAATAGTCCCGATATTTCCAATCCTCACCTTTCAAGCGGTAAGCTACATGCTTGCTTGCTGTGGTCATTAAAAACCCTGAAAGCAAAGACAACATATTAATCATGGCAAAAAACAAACGTGTGATGCTTGTTAGTAGAGTAACCTCAGAATCAAAATGGAACGGTTTTATAGTGATATCATTATATTTCATTTGGCAGAATCATTACATCATTGGTTACGCTGAAAATTATCACACGTACCAAAAGCTGACTCACCTAGTTTACGATAACAGGTCTGCCTGTTTGAAGATGAAAAATAATCCCATTTAAAATTTCCCTACTCAATTTCCTTTTCAGTCACATGTCAACTTTCAAACAGCTAATCACTCCCATCTACAGATTAAGGTGTATATGCCACTAAAACCTTTTGCCACCTTAAAAATTTCCTTAAAAGTTTAAACTAACCTGCATTTCTTCAAGCATGAATTCTGAGTCCTGAAATTAAGGGACAATACACAGTAAGACGACTTGCATACAATTAAGGGTAACCCAAAATCTCCAAACACTGTAGAATGACTATATTCCCCTTTTCAGGGCATAAACTAGAATGTTACAGCCAGATACATCAGATAGGAGCGAAAGACTTAATATTGCTCATCAGCGTTAGTCTGCTGAACTATGTTATCATCATTGTATCGGCTTTACAACACTTTAAAAACCAGACTTGAGGTGGGACCCGGTGGCTCACGCCTGTAATCCCAGCACTTTGGGAGGTCAATGCGCACAGATCACTTGAGGTGAAGAGTTGGAGACCAGCCTGAACAACATGGCGGTACAAAAATTAGCCAGGCGTGGTGGCACATGGCTGTAATCCCAGCTACTCAGGAGGATGAGGCAGGAGAATCCCTAGAACCCGGGAGGCAGAGGTTGCAGTGAGCTGATAGTGCCACTGCACTCCATTCCGGGCAAGACCTAGGCTCTGGCCTCAATTAAAAAAAAAACAACAACAACTTGGGACTGCTATACCTTTGCTTTTTTAAAACTTGCTCCACACGGTGTAGTCAAGTTGACTCTCCATACCTGCAGAAATTTAATCTCCTTTACCAACAGGTAGAAGTAATAGGTGGATTTCTAAAAGATTTCCCAACTACTGTTTCAGTTTAAGATTAATCTCCATTTTCTTTCAGAGAGATTCCCATCTGCTTTAATTTTAAAATCATCACTAACAGTAGCTCACTCAATAAACATGTTAACATCAATAAAACATACCTTTAAAAGGTCTCCAAACATCGGCACCTGAAAAAGTTTCACACCATTTCCTACATTGAATATCATTTACTTTTCAAAGTAAACAATACTCAAATATTTACTTTCAAATATCTTATCTAATGCTTTTAAATAACTGCTTTAATACAGTACTTTCATACTGCCTACTTTTCAAAATTTTCTAACAAAACGACTCTGTAACAGTCATCAATTAGTAAGACCACATTTCAGAAACAAGCTAGACGAACTATCTTCATGTCCTTATCCAAGCAAGCCATCCACGGATAAAAATGTTACCGGGAGGTGGAATACAAATGAGGCCTTCTATTAAAATGCTAAACATCATTAAATTCTTTTCAAAGTTGTCTGTCACAGGGTTCTTCAGTGTTACCTTCTGTCTACACGCTCATTTCAGGTCAGACATTTGATCAACATCATTACACAAACCCCGTTCCAAACATGCTCAAGGAAAATACACACTGTTTCAAACATGTTCAAGGAAAACAGTCAGAATTCATCAGCCAAGCCTTAAACCATTAGCTCAGCAGTAAGCATATCACTATCAGCATTTTCATTAATACTTACCAGAAACATAAAGCTGGTCCAGACAAGTTGGACTCCACCTAAAAATTAAGAGTGGTCTTACAATAGCCACAGATGAGCTTCCCCCCACCTGCCAAAACTAACAAATGCCTTTTATCAGTTAGAGCTAATTAAGACCTTCATGTTCAGTCAGTATTTGCTTATCATCATCTAGGCTGCATTTACAAACTTTCTTATTAATCATTAACAGGACAAGAACCCGCCATTTATTTAATGCATTTAGCACTGGTTGGAGGTAACTCTAAAAAGCCATTTGTGCCGTAGGCAGTTTGCCCAGTTACCTGTTTACTTGGATATAATTTTACTTACCATTTCAACTTCTAGTTTTCTGTCTAATGCCTGTAATTTTAATACAAAATTGTCAGTAAAGAATATTTTAATGGTAGATTGGTGGTACACTGCTTAACTAGTAACAGCAAACCGCAACCACCCCAGACACATCAGACACACAGTACATTTCTTCATGATTCAATCTGCTGAACTATGCAGCCATCATAGTATCTGGTTTCACGTTTTCCTCAGTATCAAATTTAGTATCAATATGAGAGCAAAACTCTCATTTGAAAAGTGGGGAGAAAAACACTAATATATATAAAATCATTCATTTGGCTATTTTCTAATCCCTCAAAAAGTGAGAAGTACAATATAGAGGTTTCTCACCTGTATGCCAATGGCTTGAGTTAGGCTTGCTCTTTAGGATCTGGGAAGAAACAACTTCATGTGAACTTAGGTGTACTCTCTATGTTCCCCAAATCACCATTTTGGGTGCCTCAGTTAAGATAATGGTGGTTAAGCTCCTCATCATTTTAGCAGTCAAGAGTAGCAAATAAACTGTCATCATTGTGGCACATCCAGTGACTTTAAATCTTTTTGAAGGAATTTTCAACTTACTTCAGTAGCTATTGTCATCCCTCCTTTGGGACACAACTAGAAAACAAAAAGATGCAAGCAGAACAGTGAGAATGAACCTTACTGCAGTCACGCTAAATATCAATGCTGTTAATATTAAAGCCTCAGAATAGAATTTCAGAAATCCCTTCTGTCCACTACTCTTAAAGCATCACAGGCTAAGACCATCTCTTAGATTTCATTCTTCCCACCGTACTTTCCCCGATTCTTACCTGCCCATAAGGTGCTATCGAGAGCCACATTGCATCTGCACCCAGCACCATACCTAAAGAGATCGGGTACAGATTTTAATTCATTGTTCCACGCTTCTTTATGTCGTGTTTTTAAATCAATGATGCAGGTAACATACCATTATCTAGCGACAGGTAAAGAATACACTTAATGTTACAAAGGAGCACTGCACCCGCAGTTAAGAACCACTAACGGCCAGGCGCAGTGGCTCACGCCTAGTAATTCCAGCACTTTGGGAGACCACGGCTGGTGGATCACTCCAAGTCAGGAATTCAAGACCAGTCTGGCCAACATGATGAGACCTACTAAAAATATAAAAGCCTAGCCTGGGGGCGCGCGCCTGTAGTCCCAGTTACTCGGGAGGCTGGGGCAGAACTACTTGAACTAGGACGCGGAGGTTGCTATGAACCGAGATGGCGCCACTGCATTCCCGCCTGGGTGACAGAATGAAGCTCGGTCTCGAAAAAAAAAAAAAAAAAAAAGGAAAAAGAAACACTAATGGAAATATTGGTGGCAGCGCGGAATGCAGGCACTTAGAGAAGCACGTGGACGGAATCTCGGAATGCAGGCACTTAGAGAAGCACGTGGACTCCCACCGCCAGCCTTTCCCGAGGGCGGGCGGCTGATGGAGGCTCGGGTCACGGCCCTTAACAATAGCTTACTAGAGTGACTCGGCATGTGCTACCATCAGAGCGGTTGGCATTCATCATTACTCTCAGATGTCCCTACCAACACAGGCTTCATCACAGGCAGGGCACGAGAGCCGAGGCTTCTCCGCAGTTCTACCCGAACAACATAGTCGCAGCTTAGGTCACGGATGCACCAAACGTGCAATCCCCCACCATCCTCAACTTGTACGCCCTGCAAAGGCGCACGACTGGCTTAGAAGGCCCAGTCAGTTCAGGGTGACCTTAGCTGACAAAGGATGGAGGGCCCCAAAACCCGCAACATTCGCAAAGATAAATCATACCTCACAACAGTCGGCTCCCACCTCGAAAAGACAATATGGTGCCTGGGCTCCCGCATATAAGAGTTCTTGTGATGACGTCACGACGCACGCTCCCGGCGGCGTCCGCTTCGGCTCCTCCCCCTGACCCCCCTCAATCTTTCTCTCCTCCAGCACCACCTTCTTCCCGCCCCCTAAGCCCGCCCCTTTTCCCCGCCCTTCCTCGCCATTTTGGGCGGAGACATGACCGCCCACGTGACGCCGTGCTCCCGTCCTCCTCCCGACTGAGGAGGAAGAGCAGAGAGGGGAGGGGGCGCGAGGCAAGGAAAGCTCTGGGGGTGGGGGAAGGGGGGCGGTGTAAGGCTGAGTGATTTCCTTCCGGCACGTCGCCCGCTCCGTGGGAGGGGGTGGGGGGTTTCACTTCCGGGACGGTGTTCCGGCCCATTCCGGCCCATTTCCACCCCCGGAGGTAGGTGCTGCTCCTTGACTGGACTCGGGCCCCACACCCCAGTGCCACTTCCCTGCCCCGGGGTCACCTCGCCCGCCCTCCTCCGCAGCGCGCTCCTGGGGCGCTCAGCTACTTTCCTTCATCCCGCCTCCAGGCACCGGGCGACCTTCCACCCCCTTGGCCCCCGGCCGGGCTGATTTGCCGGACCCGCCCCCTCGCGGGGCCCCTCCCTCAGGACCCCGGGATGGGTGGCCCCCTCCCCCACCGCAGACGGGACACACCCAGATAAGCACACCCACCTCGCGGCGGCTCCCCGCCCGCCGCCGCCTGGAGCCGGTCCGCGGGCGCCGCCCCCTTCTTAGTTCTCACCTGAGCGCTGGCTCCCCCGCCCGACGTCTTGTCCCCCTCTTCTCCAAAGTTCCTCAGTGACATTTTACCCTTTAGTTAGTTCCCCTCTCCCCATGCTTCCTAACGCAGAAGAAAACTGCTCAAGTGCTGGAGTGGCCAACCCCATGCCGTTCCCAATTCTCCCTCTTACAGCTCTCACCCCTCCAGTGCCGACGGTAGCGAAAGACTTTACTCCAGGGGCTTCCTCACTGGGGAATTGCCGGAAAGAGCAAACAAAAAAGGCGCTGGTGTAGGCTCCAAAATAAACACATCTGAATTCATGATGGCATCGACAGAGGCTCTTATTGGATTAAAAGTTTCAAAACAAACAATAACGCTTTGGAAAAAGGTCAGATTGGCTAAAGTTGATTATTGAAAACAGTGTATACACTTCCCTATTTAATAAGTGTGGTGTTAATGCGGGGCAGTACTGTGAACTTGGCAGAATAAGTTCCTGAAGTTTCAGGTGTGGTGTAACTATGTAATATATAGATAAGTGGATGCACATTGGGCTCAAGTAAATGTCTTCCTGTTCGGATTTATACAAACTACTTTCAGTAGTCGAAACTGTACTTTCAGCTCTCTTGTATACAGCTTCAGGTTTAGTGTTTCAACCATTCTTAAAAAATATTTTAATGGAAAAATGTTGGGCATACTTGGTAAATGCTGTATTTTTTCATCGGATCTGGAGAACTAAGTTTCAGGATGGAAGTATCATCACCACCTTGAAATTGCCAACTTCGATTTTGGCAGATACCCAGCTTTCCTAATTTTGACAACTGAACTTCGCATTCTCTGCATCGTGGTTGAATCCGGGCACAACTGTGGAATTTTTTCTAACCTAGAGTTTGCCTCACAGCCCTATAACCAAAGTCTTTTTGTGGCGGGCTCTGACTCTTAAGCTTATAAATATTAGCCTACATTTATGTGTAATATTAGTCCCTTTATAAAATAGTAATTCTTGCAGCAGGTAGTAGAATACTAAGAGGGATATCAAGCCATCTGTGTAGAATTGCATTTATTCAGAAAGCTTTCCTCCTCCAGAGAAAAGTTGTAAAGTTGTTATGAGATTTTATGTTCAGTTTGCAAGTACCTTATAGTTAACACTTAGTCCTTCCCACTACCTTCTGTTGAACTTTATTTTGATGTTATATACCTTATTAGTAAGGAAAGCATGGTCATAACATGAATTTTTAGGAGTCTGCAGATCACTTTTTAGTTTTAACTGTATAATCCTGTGAAACTTAAACTAAAAACCTGTTGGTAGTTCTGTTTCCACATCTAAACATAAGGAAGGTATTGCTTTTACCTGAAAATTTTGAAATTTTACCAGATAACTATATTTAAATACTTTTGAAATTGAAAACGTCCTGGAAGTAAAATTGTAATTATTAATGAGAATATGGTTTTTTTCAGCAGGGTTGAATGTACCCTCAGGCACGATCATGGAGAAAGGTGGGAACATACAATTGGAGATTCCTGACTTCAGCAACTCTGTCTTGAGCCATCTAAACCAGTTGCGCATACAGGGCCGTCTCTGTGATATTGTGGTCAATGTGCAAGGACAAGCTTTTCGGGCTCACAAAGTGGTGCTGGCTGCCAGCTCCCCCTATTTCCGGGATCACATGTCCTTGAATGAGATGAGTACAGTCTCCATTTCAGTCATCAAGAACCCTACTGTTTTTGAACAGCTCCTTTCTTTCTGTTACACAGGGCGGATATGCCTGCAACTGGCAGATATCATCAGCTACCTAACAGCTGCCAGTTTTCTGCAGATGCAGCATATTATAGACAAATGTACACAGATCCTGGAGGGCATTCATTTCAAAATTAATGTATCTGAGGTTGAAGCAGAATTAAGTCAAACAAGGACAAAGCATCAAGAGAGACCTCCAGAGTCTCACAGGGTTACACCAAATCTCAACCGCTCCCTTAGCCCACGACATAATACCCCAAAGGGAAACCGGCGAGGTCAGGTTAGTGCTGTGCTGGATATCAGAGAGCTAAGTCCTCCTGAGGAGTCCACCAGCCCTCAGATCATTGAACCAAGTTCTGATGTAGAGAGCCGGGAGCCCATTCTTCGGATCAACCGAGCAGGACAGTGGTATGTGGAGACAGGAGTGGCAGACCGTGGGGGTCGGAGTGATGATGAAGTTAGAGTTCTTGGAGCAGTACACATCAAAACTGAAAATCTGGAGGAGTGGCTTGGGCCTGAGAATCAGCCTTCTGGAGAAGATGGGAGTAGTGCAGAGGAAGTAACAGCCATGGTAATTGATACCACAGGCCATGGTTCTGTAGGACAGGAAAATTACACTTTAGGATCTTCAGGAGCCAAGGTGGCTCGGCCAACAAGCAGTGAAGTTGACAGGTAGGTTTGGTTTGATTTTGTTTTCCCATGTAATGGCTATTGTGTAGACATCACTAAAATGGGTCCTGTGTAGTACAGAGAGCATTTTCCTTACCTGATTTTCTTGGTCAAAATAAGTTGATGTTGGGGAAACTGGAGGTGTGCCAAAAGACTTGCATTCTTGTTTTTTTAAAGCAGGAAGCTCCATTCCTGAAGTATTCACAGTGTTGTGAGAACTGTGGTAAAGTTAGACACTTCCATGAATCAGAATAGCATCTGCAGCCACACTAGGATAGGATCAGTAATTGCCAGGGCTTCCTGGGGATTCCAGGCAGGGAGCCGATCATCAGCTGGGAGCCTGGCAGCATTGCCCTTCCTTGGTGTGTTATCACACAGGTAGGTGGCCTCCGGAAGCCTCACTTTCCTTTGTGGCACTGCTTCCTTTTCTTTGCCCCCAACTACCAAATTAGAGGAAGTATGGTACCAGCAGTAATTGTTCTTTTCAAATTAGTAAAATAGTAATTCTGAAGAAAAGCATTACTGATGTTTCTCATCTCTTTTTTTCCCTTGTTATGTGATGGTATCTTCCCTGTTGTCTTTCATGGATGACTGCTGCTACCACAGGCCTGATAATCTCCCTTTTTTCACCTCACTTTTCTCTTTTAATATGTTGTATTTATTAGAACATTTCTTTTTGGTAGAAATACCATGAGTTTCAGTCAACTGAGAGAAAGTCTCAATTGAAAGAAAGAAATATTACTAATTTAGATTGGTAATAGTTGTTCTTTTTCTGTCTTAAAAATAAATTTAAATTGACTGTATGAGCAGAGAAAACTAAAGAACTGTTATTTTGGTTTGGTCTTGAGAAACAAATGTATCACAGAGATTCAGTTAGTGTATACTGTATCCGTCTTTTTATGTTATGTTATGTTATGTTATTTTTGAGACGAAGTCTCACTCTGTTGCCCAGGTTGGAGTGCAGTAGTGTGATCTCGGCTCACTGCAGCCTCCACCTCCAGGGTTCAGGTGATTCTCCTGCCACTGTGCCTGGCCTCAGGTGATCTTGATTTGAGTATTGTCTTCCTGTGTCCTTATTAAAATAATCTTGAGCGTAGAACTTGTCCTCCTATGTTAGAACTGTGTCAGAAGTTCTTGGGTGATGGGTGCACCAAAATCTCACAAATCACGGAAGAACTCACTTATGTAACGAGATACCACCTGTTCCCTGATAACTTACGGAAATAAAAAAAATTAAAAAAACATAACTATCAGAAGTAATATCAGAACCAGGTGTGTTGGCTCACACCTGTGATCCCAGCACTTTGGGAGGCTGAGGCAGGTGGATTACTTGAGGCCAGGAGTTCGAGACCATCCTGGCCAACATGGTGAAACTCCATCTCTACTAAAAATACAAAAATTAGCTGAGCGTGGTGGCCACGCGCCTGTAATCTCAGCTATTTGGGCAGCTGAGGCAGGAGAATCGCTTGAACCCAGGAGGTGGAGGTTGCAGTTAGCTAAGATTGCGCCACTGTACTCCAGCCTGGGCAACAGAGCGAGACTCTGTCTCAAAAAAAAAAAAAAGTAATATCAACTTTAAATGCAAAGATTTTTTAATCTCCATGATCTGTGTCAGTAGTCTAAAATACAGGTTATTATGGGACCTTGGAGAAGAAACAGCCAAAAACCTGGCAATTACATAGAAGAAACACAATTATAGGCCCTGTTTTAATTTATTCCTTTATGGTCTCCCAGTATTTATTTAAGGAAGAAAGCTTATATTTAGCTTTAGCTTCACCAGCTCATATGGTCTGTTATGTCATTTTGTGTTTATTAAATTTACTAGGGCTAACCTATTATTTCAAATCAGATTATGTATTAACTCCATGAAAGTATTTGTCAGTTATTTGTTGCATGGTTTGTTCCCCCTTCTTTAGCCATAGAGTAAAGAGGGGCGACATCACCATTTTTCAGGTTCTTTGATGCTGCTTTTCTATTAGTCCCCTTTATGTTCCTCTTCCAACAGATTTAGCCCCTCCGGCAGTGTTGTTCCCTTGACAGAGAGACACAGAGCCAGAAGTGAGTCTCCTGGGAGAATGGATGAGCCTAAGCAACCCAGCTCCCAGGTATGGAGTTGTGGATTTAGAATTGCTGTGGTGTTGAAGGAATTGCTACTGTGTATGAATAGAAAATAATGAAAAAGGAAAGATGTAGGAGAGGTAACAGTGACCCTGTTAAAGAAATACTGTATTTTTTTTTTCCCTGAGGGTAGCAGAAGTTTAATATTAAAATTATACAGAGACATCACCAGAAAGGAAAATTGCAGACTGGTATTTCTCCCAAGCGTAGATGCAAATATCTTGAAAAGAACATTAACAAATTAACAGTGATAGCTGGTTTAACATTTTAAAATTAATCATTGTAATCTTTCATTAATAAGGAAAAAGTGATAAATTACATATGGCAATTTTGATAGATACAGAAAAGAGCAATTCAGAAAAGAGCAATTGGCTAAAACTCTTAGCAAACAAGAAATACAAGGGAACTGGCCAGGCACGGTGGCTCACGCCTGTAATCCCAGCACTTTGGGAGGCCAAGGCAGGCGGATCACCTGAGGTCAGGAGTTCGAGACCAGCCTGACCAACATGGAGAAACTCCGTCTCTACTAAAAATACAAAATTAGCCGAGCGTGGTGGCGCACACCTGTAATCCCAGCTACTCCGGAGGCTGAGGCAGGAGAATAGCTTGAACCCAGGAGGCGGAGGTTGCTGTGACCCAAGATCGCGCCATTGCACTCCAGCCTAGGCAGCAAGAGCGAAACTCCATGGCAAAAAAAAAAAAGAAATACAAGGGAACTTTCCTAATCTGATTGAAAGTATCTGTCTAAAAAATCTAGAGAAAATATTTTAATAGTAAGTTATTGAAAGCTTCCCTTGTGTGACTGGGAATGAGACAGAATGTCTGCTACCACTACTTCTACCCAGCTTTTTATTTGTAGTCCTAATCAGTGCAATAAAGCAAGAAATACAAATTTATAGCATAAGGATAACAAAGAAAGAAATAGAACTTTTGTTATTAGTAGACAGCCTGACTTGTTATGTAAAAAATGCAAAGTGGAATACTGTATTTGATTATTTTTTTTTTTCTTGCTTATGGGCGTGCAGGAAAATACACTTTTGGTGTCAGCAGAGTTTGGGAAGTATAAAAAAATAAGATTGTGGAACCCTTTCCTGATTATAATAACCACACTGTACAACTGATAATAATAAAAAATAACCCCAGAAAACTACATGCAGGTAATTTGCAGGTAATTTAGGACCTGGAATGGAAAGTCTGATTTTATACGTGTGTGTGTGTGTGTGCACGCGCATGTGTACTATGTATATGTAGTATACACACACTATGTATACTATAGTATACACACACTACATATACTATGTGTAGTATACACACACACATTTGCCAAGTTACTAATTTATAGCATTTTATTTATGTGTGTGTATATATATTCTTTTTTTTTTTTGAGACAGAGTCTCACTCTGTCACCCAGGCTGGAGTGCAGTGGTGCGATCTCGGCTCACTGCAACCTCTGCCTCCTGGGTTCAAACGATTCTCCTGCCTCAGTCTCCTGAGTAGCTGGGATTACAGGCGCCCGCCACCACACCTAGCTAATTTTTGTATTTTTAGTAGAGACAGGGTTTCACCATGTGGGCCAGGCTGATTTTGAATGCCTGACCTTGCCATCTGCCCGCCTCGGCCTCCCAAAGTGCTGGGATTACAGATGTGAGCCATCGCGCCCAGCCTGCATTATATATTTGTAAACAAATTGCTTATTGCTTATGCTTTTTTTTTTTTTTTCTATTTTGAGACAGGGTCTCACTCTGGTTGGCCAGGTTGCATTGCACTGGTACAATCTTAGCTCACTTTAGCCTCAACCTCCTAGGTTCAGGTGATTCTCCACCTCAGCCTTCTGAGTAGCTGGAACTACAGGTGCACACTACCATGCCCCGCTAATTTTTTTTTTTTGTATTTTTAGTGGAAATGGCATTTCACCAGTTTGTCCAGGCTGGTCTCAAACTCGTGGACTCAAGCAATCTGCCCGCCTCAGCCTCCCAATTTGCTGGGATTATAGGCGTGAGCCACTGTGCCCACTTGCTTACACATTTTTATTTGTGTTTGCTATTTCATGTACTGTATCTTGTCATTTATTTTCTTCCTGAATATTTTGTTAGACTAGCACATTCTAGAAAGGATAGGAATGATGAATATTTTCTTCACAACTCTCCTTAGCAGCTAGTATGAGTAGTTGGTTGATATTTTTGTTTTTTTCTCACAGGTCTGATTGAATGATTTTTTTTAAAGCTCGTGAACTCACAAAGTAGAAGACAATAAATTGTGAACATTTTTGTCTTTATAAAATAAACACTGTTGAATTAAGACTACATAGCTCATGTTTTTAGCCTCTGCATTACACTGATAGTATCTTGTCTAATTTTTAACTAAACCACTGATTTTTTTTTTTTTTTAGACAGAGTCTCGCTGTCTCCCCCAGGCTGGAGTGCAGTGGCATAATCTTGCTTACTGCAACCTTCACCTGCCTGGTTCAAGCAATTCTCTTGTGTCCGTTTCCCAAGCAGCTGGGACTACAGGCGCATGCCACCACACCCAGCTAATTTTTGTATTTTTAGTAGAGATGGGGTTTCACCATATTGGTCAGGTTGGTCTCGAACTCCTGACCTCAGGTAATCCAACTGCCTCGGCCTCCCAAAGTGCTGAGATTACAGTCATGAGCCACCACGCCCAGCCTAAATCACTGAATATTTATTGTGTGCATGGTGTAGTAATAGCAGTAAGACATTGTTACAAACTGTGTTTTTTAGTTTTGGTAAGATGTTAGATAAAATATTAGGAGCTTGGAGGAAAAGTAATTTCACTCATATTATTAGGGCCCTTTTTCTCCTCATCTCTCAAATATGGTATGATAACAATGCAGAGGAGGCTGTTATGCAGATACAGACATGTGTCACTAATTGACAGTATGTTCTGAGAAATGCTAGACCATTTTGTCATTGTGCAAACATAGAGTTTACTTACACAAATCTAGATGGTATAACCTACTACACACCTAGGTTATATGATATATCCTGTGCCTCTTAGGCTACAAACCTGTATAGCATGTTACTGTACTGAATTCTGTAGGCAGTTATAAAGTCATAGTAAAATTTTTGTGTATCTAAACATAGAAACGATAGTGTAAAAATATTGCATTATAGTCTTATGGAAGCACAGTTACATATGTGGTCCATCATTGACCAGAATGATGTTATGTGGTACATAACTGTAAATTCAGTAATGAGACAGACATTACAACTCAATGGGGGCATAAGACAGACTAACAAATACACACAAAAAAATGTAAGACTATACAGTATAAACTTCAGTGACAGTGTTGTGGGACTAGGATTGCTTAAAAGGCAATGGAATCAGTGTCCACTTAAGGAAAGTGTTATCAAGATTTTCTTTCTTTTTTTTTTTTGGAGACGGGATCTTGCTTTGTCCCCCAGGCTGGAGTGCAGTGGTACGATCATGGCTCACTGCAACCTTGCCCTCCCTGGCTCAAACAGTCCTCTCACCTCAGCTCCTGAGTAGTGAGGACCACAGGCATGTGCCACCACACCCAGTTAATTTTTTTGTTTTTTATAGACACAGGGTTTCACTGTATTGCCCAGGGTGATCTCAAATTCCTGAGTTCCAGTGGTGACTCACACCTGTAATCCCAGCACTTAGAAGACCAAGGTGCGGTCCTCACAGATGTGAGCCACCACGTCCAGCCTCAAGGATATTTTAAATGCAGTTTTTAAATAAGTTAGGAAGGGATAGTTTATTCCATTTATAGATAGAATAGGGATAAGAATTAGAATTCTGTAAGAATATTTACCTTCTTGAAGCAAAGGGTACAGACAGGCTATAATGAAATAGGAGATAAGTAAGATTAGGTGGAGATGATATTAAGGGTGATATATATGCCTTAATGGATATGAAAGTTTAATATGGTAAGTCTACTCACCCGTTTTTTTCCGCTACTACAGGGAACTAAAACAGGGCAAGGACTTACAGTAAGAATGAATATTGATAGACTTGAAGAACTTCCTGATTATGGGGTTGATTAAACTGGAACACAGTAATAAAGTTACTCCTTTACTTAAAAACATTGTGTAACTTTTTCTGTGACATGAAGGTTAATATACTTGGTCTAATTTTCCAAGTGACTTACAGTCTTTTTAACCCAACTTTTCCCACTGCTCATCAGCATTCACTAGAATCTCAAACAACTAGACTCTCCCTGTGTCAGAACCACATTAAACTTATTTCCCTCTCTGCATCTAAATTCTGAATGCCTCATTGTTTTCAGGTGTCTGGGTTCGGCCAAGGCCCAACTCCTAGTTTTATCTGTCCTAACTGCTCCAGTCCTCTTTGATTTTTCCGTTTTATGATACTATTATAGCATGATACAGTACAATTTTTCCTGATTCTCTAGATTCATATATATTGTTCCTTTTTTATTTGCATTAGTTTTGTGTCTCCTGTTAAACTGAAATCTCCTTGAGAGCAGAGACCACATTTTCTTTCCTCTTTTTGTTTTTGTCTTTTGACAGTTTTAGTACCAATAAGTGTTTATTCATTGTATTTTCCCAGGGAAAGGAGAAGGGAAGGGGAAAGAGTCAGCATGTGTTACAGAATGATTAGAAAATGGGCAAGGAAGTACCCAGTACAGCAAAATCAACCATCAAATAAACATACCCCAGTGATGGGGTCACCAATGCCCAAAGAGGCTCTGTCTCCTGCAGTTCAGGAATGAGGGGAAGGGACCAGGAAAAGAACAGACAGGTACAGACTTTCCTACCTTCCCTCCCTCTCATAAATTCAAGATTTCACATAAAGCTTTAGTTTCTAGAGGTAAACATGAAGTTACATTTGTTCATCTCCTATTAAGCAATCTTGTGGCCACTTTGACATAAATTTCTTGCGCCTGTATAAAAGTTCTTGAGTTACTTGGATATAAATTCACCATTTAGGCCAGGTGCAGTGGCTCACAACTGTAATCCCAGCACTTTGGGAGGCTGAG